TTCCTCTCTAATGAAGTGTCTCCAACTACCGTGAGCTCGGTACAAGCGCAGAAAAGAACCCATACCTATAAAAGAACGATGAGTTACCTTCCTACCAACATACTTCCTCCAACTATTGTTGACTTCTAGGACTTCATACCAATGGGACTTGGTTGCAACCCACTAATACTTAGAACAGTTACCAACATAAGAAACTACATACTTATTACCTCCCAATGATGCCTCCTTGGAAGGCCTCCAAATGCTTGAATGAATACCCCTTAGAAGACCCCTCGATCAATGAATAGAAGTGCCAAACTCCACCTCGGTCTTCTTGCTCATACCAATATGTTCATAGGACTTTAAACTACAGGTCAAAGCACTCCTCAACAAATAATACACGATACCAATAACAAAATATCCCAGCCTCAAACAGCACCACAGTCTAGCCAAATCCGAAGAAGTCGTCAGCTCTCTATCAATCACCGTGCTTCCAAGCAAATAATACAATTTACTCTTTCTGACGCCCTTCATCACAATCATGAACCCCAATGTGACCTTCAAACGTGCATCCACCAAGGTCACCCTATAGCATACTGCTTTTAAAACTCCAAGTGAAATGATATTTTTCTTTAATTGCAGAATGAACCTCACTTCATCCAACTCCCGAATCACCCCATCACACATCCTAATCCGAACGGTACCAATACCACTAATAGAGCATGTATGTTCATTACCCATGAGCACGACATCCCCTCTTTCCAACTTCTAAAATCTGAAGAACCAATCCTTCCTAGGGCAAATATGGTAAGAAGTACCCGAATCCAACATCCACTCTTTAGAGTTAGCAACACAAACTGACGGTAGTGCAGATAACGAATAACCTGAAGAATTCAAATCTGAATTGTTGCCATTAGACTTGACAACATTCACCTCTGAAGCTTGTATAGCTTTTATTTTATTCTCCCCGGCTCGATCTAACTTTGGGCATTCGGCTTTTTAAAGTCTATCATCTTTACAAAAGGCACACTGATTTTTATGAACTGCAAAGTGTGCACCTCTAGACTGCAACCTCCTACTACGATTTGGACCACAGCCTTGAACTGCTAATGCATCTCCTGATGCCTTCTCGGAGGGTTCATCAACACTCTTCCTCAACTCATAATTCATCAACACTGAGGTCACCTCATTGTAATTAACAATCATTCTTTCATTAATCATAGTGAGAATAAAAGTATCATAATCATCCTCAGGTAACGAACACAAAAGTAGCATCACCTTGTCTTTATCCTCAACCATGATATCCACATTGGTCATATCCAAAAGCAGCTTTGTGAAGTTGTTAACATGCTCCCTAATGAAAACTCTCATCTTCATCTTGAACTGGTAAAACCTCTTCTTCAAGTGAAGGCGATTCTTAATGCTCTTGGTAAGGTACTTCTCATTGAGCGTTTCCTACAATTTCTTCGCCGACGTCTCGTTCATCACATCATAAATAAGATCTAGCGTCAAGCATGACCGAATAACTCCACAAACCCTATTGTTCAACTTCTTCCAAACCTTGTCCTCCATATCATTAGGTTTCTCTTGTAACTCAAGTGTCTCCTCCAAATTCTGCGTGTCCAACGTATCCATCACCTGGCATCTCCACAAACCAAATTTGATCTTACCGTTGAACTTCAAAACATCAATCTTTATATTATTGATGCTCAGACTCTGTATTGCCTTCGTAAGATACGATCTTGATGTGTTTGTTTCACCCATGTTGTAGATCTACCTCTTCAAATAAGAATCCTTCAGCGAATCCTTTGAACAAAAGCCCCAAGTCAAAACCTGGGCTCTGATATCACTTGTTGTGTGCATCGGAAATTTCGGCAGCACCTCTGGTGCACAACAAGAGAGTAAGACCACAACTAAATCGCTGTTTCACAAAAAAAACAAGAACCGAAAGTGATATATCTCAACAAAGTGGGATATACACTCTTCTTCTCATCAGTTCTAGGACTGACTTGTCGAGGGAACCTAAACAAGCTATTACAAATCACAGCAAGACAGACTATTTTTACGTGGTTCGGCAAGTTAGCTACGTCCACGAGGCAAGGAGAGGGAGATCTACTATTAGAGAGAAAGAGAATACAAATAGGGTTTACAATCACACAAGGTCTCACAAATTAAACCGTCAAACAATCTCTTAAATCTCTCACAATTTCTCTCCTCTTGATCTGAAAAATAAACTTTGATTTTCTTCTCAAAAGGACAGCCGCCAAAACCCTTTTTTCTCCTCTGTGTTTTCCCCTTGCACCCAACCCTAGGAACCTATTGAAATGCTATATATATAGCACAAAGCCGGGTGGGCTTGTCCAGGAAACGAAAGAAAAAAAAAACTGCTCACGTGCTTTGCCTCCAGCTCGTGGCCCCCACGCGCTTTGCCTCCCACACGTTCACCTGCTCACGCGCTTTGCCTCTAGCTCGTGGCTCTGTGGCACATTGGCTTCTTCAAACATGAGCTTCTATTATACCCATTTCTAAATCATTTTTCATTCACTATTTTCCAACAAATGACATTATGGAAATAACACCTAATTCAAATAGCAGCATCCTTGTTTCCGTTATTAACTCCAGCCCAAATATTTAAGGGGAAGGGATAATTGGGTTAATTAAGAACTAAATGAAAATACAGATCTCTTCCGAATTTGAAATAGGAACTAAACTGGGGGACTTTGTTAATCCTTGACTGTTTTTACTGAAATTGTGAAGATAGTTACATCCTGAATCCATTCCATCTATGATCTTTCTGAGCTACAAAAATATTTGATTTTTCCCTTCGAATCCATAGTATGCTTAATATCATATAGCAACCTATTTATACTGAAAATTTATTTGTTAATTTGTAAAATTGAGGACACTACCCATGCTGACTTTTTATTTGTTTTGTAATCTCTACAAGATACAAGAAGAGATCAGAGACAAGCCAAGAACATAATAATTAGGCAGATAAAATAAACAAAAATAAACATCAGCAAATAATCAACTCAAGAAATAAAAGCTTTATTGGAGCAATAGCAAGAACTACATACGATTACATAATCAAAATTCAACCCCAAACTTGCTAGAATTAATAAAGCTTTTTTTCCTAATTAATTATCACTTAGCCATAAATCTCAAGGGCCGTGTCATCGTCATCATCAACGAAGTAATCAGCCCACCAGTAAGGGCGTTTCTATAATACATCCCCTGCTTCAAGCTCTCCACGTAGTCAAGCAGCGCATATCGGCGTCTCTTGAAGTCTCTCGCCGCCTCCTCAGCCCTCTCTGGCCTCACCCGGCCCCACCACTCGGCCTGTTCCACCACCTCCATGGCCTTTACAACCACCATCTCCGCCACCATCGCCTTCTGCTCCTCGGTCTTCAATCCTGACTTGTTTATGATACGCTTCAAGTGTTTCTCCACGACCTCGGTGGCCGCATTGACGACATCACTCGTCGATGGTCGTTGCGGGACGTCGGGGGAAGGAAGATATCGAGGGGGAGTCGATGGAGAGGATTATTCAATTGGAGAGAGAATTTACCGAGTTGTGAATTGCAATGCGAAGGCTTTCTTTGTTTCCTAGCTAGGTTCATGGGTGAGGGTGTATATATAATATATAATATAAGGATTCGGATCCTCTCCACTACAAAAAAAAATAGTGGAGGGACCACTACATAATCACAGCCATTGATTATCTAGTTGATGGTTATGATTTTTTCTTTTAGTGTAAATTAGGAATGAGTGCAATACACGGGGGTATGGTAAGTGTTAGATTTAGATTGTATCATAACCGCCTACTAAATAATCAACGCTTGAGATTAAAAGTAGTGTCTCCACTACTTTTTTGTAGTGGAGAGGATCCAAATCCATAATATAATATATAAGAGGAAACTTTCTGGTTGCAGTTTCAGGTCTGAGAGTAGAATTTGGGTAGGATTAGGAGTGCATTCTTGATTGGCGTATGCGTTTTATTTATTTGAGAAAGGAATTGCCTTTTCGGTTTTGGTAATATTAATCTATTAAGTCTATACTAGGATATGGTTAGAATCAAGAAGTTTTATTTTGTTTTTTTGTTTTTTTGAAATAGACTAAGTTTGATATTTAATTAGCAAAATAGATCAAACAAGTTAATTAGCAAAACATACCAAGTTTCAGCCACATAGTTGAAAGTTGGTTTATTTTGCTAATTAAATATCAAACTTAATCTATTTCAAAATTTTGTCTTAATGTTTCTAGTGTTTTTATATATAGATATACTCTTTTGTTTTACTAATTATATATATAGCCTCGTTATGTTAACTTTTTTATTTTGCTAGTGTACCCTTTTGTTTTTTCAGGTTTTTTCTTTCTTTCTTTTTTTTTTTGTTATAAGTTAATGCAGTTTCCCTTATTTGTGTATGCAACAATTCAATTGTGTTTTAATTTTAAAATATAGTAATTATTTTGTTATACTGTACACTTGTTAACCACAATTACAAAACAAAAACACTTCTAAAAGAACAATGAGCAACTAATCAAGTTCTTTTTGTTTCAAAAAAGTAACTTACTTTTATAGTTATTTAGAAGAATTATAATTTCCTTAAAGTTGTAGTTTTTTCATTAGTTATTTCTATAATCATGTTTATCATGTTTTCGAACAAAGTACGTAGTTTTGAAAGATTTTTTTATTTTTTATTTTTTTGAAATAGATCAACTTTGACATTTAATTAGCACAATAGACATGGCTGAAAATTAGTATGTTTTGCTAATTAAATATTTTAATCTATTTTGCTGATTAAATGTTGAATTCGGTCTATTTCAAAAATTTCCATTTCATTTTTGTTGATGCTGAATATCACACAGCCAATTGGATCCAAGCTAGGATTGGTTCTGATCCGGAACTAGATTGGTCCCCCATTGAGTCTTCACCGGGACGTGGTAGGGGAGAGTGATGGAGGGGTCGCTTCCTTCTTCAACTTTATGCCTAGTTTTTGAACTGGAGATTTATGTCCATGCTACACGACGGTCAAGTTAGTGAAACTCGAGTGGGGAAATAGAAGATCAGGAACCAATGTGATTCTTGAAGTGGAAATGTCTCTGTCCAGAGGATCTACATGAGCTCCTATATCTAGAAGAAGAACTGTGTGTTCTTGTTTTTGTGCCATGTATGCTTTAGGGGGTTTTTTAGATTGCGAACCTCTAGCTATGGTGAATAGCATCTGCATATAAAGAGAACGTCAATGACAGATTGGTCACTTCGGCCATGAAAATGACGGTGACAAAGTGTAAGCTGGAAAGTGAGTCATCCTTTGTTCTACATGTGTCGGCTGGCGACTAGAGGGGAAATCACTTCGTCATGGTAAAGGGTGTCTCCGTATTTTTCGGAAAGTGATTAATAGCGTGACAGAAGGCACGTGGGCATACTGAATCATCCCTCGCTTTACAGGTGTCGGCTGGAGACTGGAGGGGAAGTCACTTCGGCATGGGTTTTCGGGAAGTGATTGATAAGTCATGGAGGCACGTGGGCAGCTGACAAGTTACAGAGATCATTAAGCTAAAATTTGTATAAGGTTTGTCCGATATGGACTGAAATGTTGACATATGCTCTGGGGGAGAGGCTTGAGGCCTGGGCCGAGTCATCAACTTAGCCGACAACAGAGAATGTCTCTCGAGTCGTCTCCGAGAATTGCCCAGTGAGTGGTAGAGTGCCCTAAGTGGGTCGTCCTCGTCGATAGGGTAGACTGATCTCACCTTTCGTGTCGGCGTGAAAGAAGGTCGACTTGATGAGTCGGCGAGGTTGAGGCCTCTGTTGGGCTTAGCCCACTCAAGTGGGTTTGAGGTTATTTTGCTAGGACTCTTATTGTATCATTTTGTAAATGCCCGTATCTTGGGTGAGTGAACATCATAACAATTTTAGTATAATTTGTAGTCTAATTTGGTTTGATTAATTTTGGAACAAGCTAGTCAACCTTATTAACTTGAATACTTGCATAATAATGATCTGAATCGTTTAGGATTTGGTTCCCGTCTTACTTTTTAAATGCCTCGCCTCATTGTTTAAGGAGATGAGCTTTTTAACTTTGTTTTGGATCATCATTAATGATGTCTGGTGTCCACTTCAGGCATACGTCAATGAGATTAGTTAGTTGTTCGAAAATTCGGGTATGTGTCAAGGAGATAAGTTACCTCTTGGTGTTTCTTCTTAGCCGGAGATCATCTACATCCTTGACTATAGAAAATCTCTACAATTTACTAATCCCATCATCTTACTTAGTTAGGGTTGGGCATATGCTGGTTTGATTCGTCACACCAGGCTGGGCCCAACCAGGCCCACATTGGTGGTGGTTGATGGGCCAAGCTAGGTTTTGATCCAGACTCGGCATCAGAGAAGCTAACCCGGCCCATCGTAGGCCCGACTCACCCCCTCCAACCCGAGTTTAATTATAAATATTTACTTGATTTAGCAAAAAGTAAATGAGCATCAAGCCAATCAAGTATTCTTTCAAAATCCGAAATTGCCCATATCTTTATGTTGCAACGTGTGTGTGTGCGCGTGTGTGTGTGTAGAGAGAGAGAGAAATGAGTATGTTTGGTAATGAGGTTGCATAATCTCATCCACTCATTCAAATGGTTGCATATCCCCATGCACTACTCAACCCATGTGAATGTGGTCCCCCCTTTGAATGAGTGGAGGGGATCGTGCCACCTCACTACCAAGCACAAATTTTGTGCTCGGTACCAAGCATACCTATATATATATATAAGAATAAGACTCCTATCAACTTAAGTTGATGTCCACCAAACTTTCTAGTCACTCACTTATTAATATAAAAAATCTTTTCATATCATTAGGGCTGAGCACGGTTCGGTTCGGTTTGGTTTTTAACAAAATTTGAACAACCGAACTGAACCGCCCATTATTCAAAACCGACCCGAACCATTGCAAGTCGGTTCGGTGCGGTTCGGTTCAGTTTGTTCGGTTCTAACTTCATCAAACTTTGAGTATTTTGTCTGAACTATAAGGAGCATTTGGGCGTGTAGGAAATGAACTAGCGTCTTACCTGAACTATAGAGACTCTGATTGGTTTGCCTCTAATGACGACTGCTACAGAAGCTAATGCTATTACAGCAGGACCAGTAATGAACCTTATCAACGTTCCAATTGTTGCATGTTTCTTTCCACAGGTTATCCTTGGTTGCAAAGCCATGAACAATCCTAAGAAGATAATTTTATTTCACATCCTCATTTTAAATGTGATCCACAAAATCTTTAATTTTTGGTACAAATATCACCTAAACTAAACATAGCCATTCGCAATTCAGCATTTGATAACATTGTCACTGAATTCTCCAGTATAGCAGGCTTCTGTGTTCCCCATCTTTAAGTATGGTTTGTGCGAAACTTTACATAAAGCCATTTTAATGAGAGAAAGCTTGGTTAGTGATATTGATTATGGTAGCGGTGATGAGTTACATCATCCAGATTGCTAGCCCATATATGTGGAGATTAAAGTAGAATAACTTATGTTTATGAGCTAATTTCTCAGAAACCAAACATATAAAAAAATGCAACTTTGCATCATTAATTCATATTATCCTACTAAAAAAATGACTCACCTGTTACAACCCAGAGTGATAACTGTCCTCACAATCCCATCCAGCTTCAACCTCCTCTTCCTCCTTGTAACATTCACCGACACCAGCACCAGAGTCCCATCACCCCCCAACTCTGCCTCCTTTGCCCTCCTGGGCGGTAACCTGATCCCCATGGCCGAAGCCCTCGACGGGAAGAGGGAGATGAAGAGGGAGGGGAGAGAGCGGGCGGTGGTCAGCGGAGAGAGGGCGGCTGGAGGTCTTTTTTTTTCGGGGGGAGAGGGAGATCTGAGAGGGAGAGTGAGGCGGTAGGGGTTGGGATAGATTAGGTTTTTGTAAATTTTTTTTGCCCAACCTGAAGAGGACGGAGAGTGAGAGAGGCGGACGGAGAGTGAGAGAGGCGGACTGAGGAGAGGATGAGATCTGAGGAAGTGGCGTTTGGGAAAAGGGAATGTGATATTAGGGTTTGAGATGGATCGGGTTTGAGTGGATGGGAAGTGGGTATTTAGTTGGTTCGGGTAGTTCGGGTTGAAAAATTTTCAACCCGACCCGAACCGCCCTAATCATAAAACCGAGTTTTTCGGATCGGTTCGGTCGGTTTTTTCGGTTTGGACCGAACCATGCTCAGCCCTACATATCATGTAATGATCCCTAGGTAATATGAGTAGCTAAAAAGTTTGGTGGACAACTTTTTACTATCCACTTATGTTGGCACAATCAAGACAAATAAAAACTTTCTCTTATGAACTCTATATATAAAAAATCCTTACAAAATCGGGAAGGGTTAGTTTGTTAGGTGGCCTTGGATAATTAAGATATATAAATGTATCACACATTTTTAATGAATATAATTATAAGTTTCATATATGATTCTATTAAAAAGATGTAAGAAAAATATATACATGTATAGTAATATCACATACCCATTATCCTCCTAATGGCAGTGGAGATTTATTTTGGATTGTTTCCTATATTTTAAGAAAATCCAAGACATGTAAAAGCTACTTGAAGGGGGAGAAAAATCAAAATGTATATATGCATCCTTTACCAACCAAATCAAGAGAAATCCATTTTTGTTATTCAGTTGGGAAAGAAGGGAAGAATGTTAATTTTAAAGATTCTGTTCTTCAACGGCTGGCTCTAATAAATTCCTACAATTTATTTAAATGTTTTTTAAAACATGTAATTTTATACCGAAATAAATACAAAAAAAACATTCTCAATCTTCCAAAATTTTCAAGAAACAAAAATAAAATGAGTCACCGACGCACAAATTCCGAGTCCGCACAAATTTTCACAAATCCCTCCAAAATAAAACCGAAGCCCTACCCTTCTTTTTTCAGCTCCTGTTTCGCCTGCGAGACGTCCGACACGTCATCGTACCGGTGCCCTCCGCCCTCCACGTGTCTCCCTGATCCGAAACTCAAAGGCCGTTACCGGCGCCAACGCCACCACTCCGCCGATTTCCGCTACGATCCTCTGAGTTACGCTCTCAATTTCGACGACGGACGGAGCGGCCGGCGGATTGCGCCGATACCGCTTACCGCGGAACGACTTTCGGTGTCGGAACTTTTCGGATCGGCTTCCCTCTTCTCCGCCGTCGAAGTTTGGGGGGTCGTCGAACTAATTGCCGAGATTAGGGTTACCCTCTTTTTTATTCCTTTTTTCTTTTTTTTTTCGTTCTATGTTTTCTGCTTGTTGTTTCGCTGCAATAATTGGAGAAATTAAGGTTTCGTTCGTTTGCCTGTTTTAGTTGAATTTTTGCTTATATTTGTGGGAAAATTTCATTCTTTTTGATAAATTCATGATAAAGATGACTTTTTTTCCCGTCGGTGTCAGATTCCATGTTTGCTACTTTGCCAATTCTTTTTCTTTTTTGAGAAATTCGATGGATATTGAATAAAAAGATGATTTCTTCGTCTTCTGGGATCCAGCCTGTTAGACTTGTTCGTAAGAATTTATCGAATTTTGTGGAGTCAGCTTTGGAGAAATGTGTAGATATCAGGTCCCTTAGAAAGGCCCATGCTTGCGTCCTTACCCATGGCTTTAGTTACAGCATTGACATCAAGTCGAAGTTGCTGGGTTGCTATGCTTATTTAGGTAGCTTGTCGGAATCACGATGGGTATTCGATAAAATGATCGGTAGGAACCTTTCTCTTTGGAATTCAGCCATTGTTGGGTACTTTAGAGCGGGTTACTTTGAGGAAATTCCTCGGCTATATTCAATGTTAAAGTCAGAAAGGATCGGTGTTGACAGTTTAGCCGTTACGTTCAGTTTGAAGAGTTGTGTTGAACTGAGAGATGTGGAATTCGGAAAAAGAATTCATGTAGATGCTATTAAGGCTGGTTCCAACGGCAGGAAATTTGTTGGTTCTTCTCTCATTGGATTGTACTCGAGGTGCGGGAAAATAGATGATGCAAGACAAGCATTTGATGAAATATTGGATAAAGATATCGTTACATATACCGCACTCCTTACAGGGTATGCCCAAATTCCCGACTCCCGAGCACGGATGGCCTTTAGAATTGCTAGCAGGATGTGGAGGGAAGGATTTGATGCTAATCGAGTAACCTTAGTGAGCTTGCTTCAAGCTTCAGGGCACTCAAAAGCACTGAAAGAAGGCCAATCAGTACACTGCTATGCCTTGAGGAGAGGAATTGGTATTTCTGATGAAGTACTGAATACAAGTTTTGTTGGCATGTATTCTAGGTGTGGTGCTTCAACTTCTGCTGTGCGTATTTTAAGTCAAATGGGAACAGCAGTTGCTTCTTGGAATGCTTTGATTGCTGGGCTCATTCATTGTGGTCAGAGCTCCCAGGCTTTGAAGCTTTTCTGCCTTATGGTGAAAGAAGCAAACTGTTTGCCAGATTCTATTACCTTGGCAAACATTCTCACAGCTTGTTCTGATCTGGATTATGCTTTTCAAGTTGCGAGTGCCCATGCTTACGTAATCAGGAGGGGATTCCCTCTTGATTTAGTGGTAACTACTGCTCTTGTCGATTTGTATTCAAGATGTGGTAAAATAAGGAAGGCCAGGATAATTTTTGATGCGCTAATAACTAGAGACGAAGTTTTATACAGTGTAATGATTTCAGGTTATGTACAAAATCGTGACGTTGATGAGGCCATTACAATGTTTAGAAGCATGGTAAAAGCAGGCGTCAGGCCAAGCTCTGTGGCAATACTGAGTCTTCTTTCAGCCTTTACTGATCTCGGAGATATAAGGAAGGGCAGGTCAATTCATGGAATTATTGTGAGATTGAGTCGTTACGTTGAGATAGAAGTTTCAAATCAGATAATAAATATGTATGCTAAACTGGGATACACAGACACAGCAAGGAGATTTTTCGACTTGCTACCTGAGAAGGATCTGGTGTCTTGGACTTCTATGATGATGGGTTATGTAAACTACAACAGAGATGATAAGGCTCTAGCACTTTTTCATCTAATGAGAAGAGAAGGGGAGGAGCCTGACTCTGTGACTCTTATCACCTTACTTCAGGCATTTCACCAGGTGGGATGCTTAGAAAAAGTTAAAGAAGTCCATGGTTACATATACAGGACTCACTTAGAGAAGGACGTTGTTACCATTAATTCTATAATCATGGCTTATGCCAAATGTGGAAGGTTAGGTGTTTCTGAGGCTATGTTCAGTAATTTGGTAGAACGAGGGCTGACCTCATGGAACACGATTATTGCTGCCTATGGGATTCATGGGCACTATAGAGAAGTCGTCGAGCTGTTCCATAGAATGCCGGATGAAAATATTATGCCAGATGAGATGACATTCACGTCTGTTCTCTCTGCTTGTAGCCATGCTGGGCTTGTTGAAGAGGGTTGGGAGATTTTCAACTCCATGAATTCCAATTATTTCTCCATTGTTCCCAAGGAAGAGCACTACAATTGCATGGTTGATCTGTTGGCTCGAGCAGGTCGGCTTGAGGAAGCTTGTGACTTTCTCAAGTGCTCACCGTTCAGCGACAAGACAAACGCACTACGTGCTTTGCTTGCAGCTTGTAGAGTTCATGGAAACACAAAACTGGGGGAGATAATTGGGAGGCAGCTCCTTGATTTAGATCCCCAAAATTCAAGTGTTTATGCCCTGGTTTCCAATGTATTTTCTGAAGCTGGGAAGTGGAATGAGGCTGCAAGTTTAAGGAGTGTAGCTAGAGAGAGAGGGTTGAGAAAATTGCCAGGTTTGAGCTTAATAAAATCAGATGAGCATATATGTGGGGTATGACTCCTTTACACTGTTAAGAGTTTTGTTTATTTTGTTAACTGTTGTTTTATTTTAGAGGGGGTCATGGTGCCGACTTTTGTCCAAATCTATATCATTCATTTGAAATGCGTAATCATAAGAAAGTTTTGAGTGCTCAATTGCTGGGACATTTGTGGTCAAGCACACTAGATGCGTACTCACAGCATGGGGTTTTATTTGTTTGAGATTTTATAAATTTGGTGCCGTTCTCTGATATAGGATGTTCTTCTACATCAAGTTTCTTTAGTCTCTGGGTGCTTGGTATCTGTAGTTTTGAAAGCGCCGAATTCAGTGCATGAGACCAATTTATCGTGTGTTGTTGCGTATTATCTTGGTGAAAAGGCACGCCGTAGAGCTTGAAACTTCCTTTTATGTCACTAATTCAATGATCACCGTTGTATCGGGGCACCATGAAAGTTGTGGGCAGGGATCACTGGGTACTTTCTGCTTGTATCGCCTACAGGGAAAAGTTAAAAGCAATAGAAGTGAGTTTATGCTTGCATTGCCTGTTCTCCAGTTTGTGCCTGCTTCATCATTTAGTTGGCGTTTGAAATAGCTAACGTTTCAAAATGCAGATCTTGTATACCAGCATGGAGGTGTCTCCTGCCTGTTTCTGCCGTCTCGAATCGTGTCTACTGATGATAGACATGATGGTTTCGGAGATTAAATTGCTCACTTGTTCCTCATTTGTTTTTCTTTTTCCTCCTTTGTTTCAAAGCAAATCCTAGCATATAAGGATCATGCATGCTACATCGCGCGACATCTCTGTTTTACCGCGTGCTGTAGGGATTTCGTCCAGAGATAATTAATTATAAAGGCTGTTCATTCCTGGTCATAATTTTTCAGTTTTTTTCTTTTTCTTTTTCCTTTTTTTCCTCTCTCTTTTTGCCTGGAGAGGCAAAATGAGAGCATGGTGAGTCTCTCATTCCTCGTATTAGCCTCCCATGTCATCGGCCAATTTGCTTAGAGCTTCATGTTGGAAATATATCAAATAATTAAGATTATAGCATGAAATAATTATGAAATTAAAATAAATAAGAGATAAGAAAAATCAGGTCTGACGGGAGCAGTCGTGTATTCACTGTCCTAGAAGATTGAGAACCCGCCTATCGTCCTGGCGCAGATGGTTCCCTCTCCCCTAACGGTAAAAACCCCGGAAACGGACGGCCTCTGTACTCGGGCGAGAGTACAGAGCTTCTGCTCAGATGAAGAAAGCTGCCCAAAAATAAAACCAATACTATGAAGAAATAATATGAAGAGGAGAGAAAAGACTTGTTTTTCTTGTTGTTTTTCTGAGAATGCGAAGGGTTGTTTATATAGGGGTCTTAGAGAGCCGTTACAAATCCTAGCAATCAATACAGTAACGTACGTCATAATGTCGACCGTTACGTAATAAACCCGTAATTAATACGGTAACGTTCGCCATAATTATATAGCCATTATGCACATTAATTGCTGAGGAAAATAAAATATGTAAAACATGTTAAATTGCCTTTTCTTTTTATAAAATATCCAACACTTCAGTCAATAATTATTTTCACCAAAAATCAAACTAAATTCCATTATTTTTGTGGGGTAAGATATAAAATTAAACTAGAGGTTTTTAGGAATGCATGGGTATATAGTGTTTGTTAATGTCTCTGCACGATTTGGTTTAGGTTACTGTTTTCTTGCGTAGATGTAGTTAGGGGTGGGGGTGGCCGGTCCGGATCAGAGTGGGTCGGGTCTATTTCTCTGATCCAAGGTCTGGAGCTGAACCCAGCCCGGCGCACAACCACCCAGGTGTGGGCCGGGTTTGATCCGGCCCGCCGCCCATGACTCATGGGTCGGCCCATGGGGTTTTCATCCAATTTTTTCCTAATTTTTATCTTTTTAATTACATTAAACTTGTATTTACAATTATAAAATTATTTCTAATTTATTATTTAGTAATTTAAACTTATATTGAACTATTTTTAAACTTTTTAATCCATCTAGATAGACAGCAGCGAGCTTAAAGCTCACTGCTTTATTTCTTAGTGGCTCAAAAGCCCATGAGCCAAATACTTATGGCCTTTTGGCTTTGTTGGCAGCTAGTTTCAGATCCAAAGGGCTAAAATAACAGCTAGTTGTAAACCCAAAAGACAAAGAATAATTAGCCCAACCAAAAAATATATCATGTGTCGGGGTGGGTCGGGCCAGGGCAGGTCGGGCATGGGCCGGGCCTATTTCTCTGATCCCGGGTTTGGGACTAGACCCAGCCCCGCTCATGAACCAGGTATATCATGGGTCGAGTCGGGTTAGGCCCACTACAAGCCGGGCCAGATCGTGACCCATGATGGGCTGGGCTGAGCCGGGTCAGCTAGCTGGTCAATACAGCTCATACCCAACTCTAAATGTAGTTGATGTCTTTGCTTTGCTGTTCCAATTTTTAGCTTTGGTCAGTTTGGCATCATATGTACAAAAGATATATTCTAGTTGAAATTGGTTTTAATAGATATAGTATTTGCATTGCACATCATCTGTTTGGCGAGTCCAGTATAATAAATAAATTACATCAGATGAGATGGTTGATAGGCTGGTGGAGAAGAGACATTAGGAGGATTTCTATGCCCATTCTCCGCAGAGCTCTCACGTAATTGTGAGTGCAGGAGGAGCCGTTGGTCTAAATTGCATCTTATATTTTGCTGGGAACTTAATATTTTATTCCTTGGCATCGGATATTATTGAATTTACCGTCATCTGCTGCGTTACCCAACATCTTGTATCGAATTTGGTTGTGTGGAAATAGAGTTGCATACGCAAAATAATCCAGTTGGATTTGTATTTCAATTGTTTTGTACGTGACATGTTATTGGACAAAGGTAAATGAACCTATCGTTTAAATATTTTTTAAAAAAATCTACAGTAAACATTGCAGTCAATTTGAAGGAAAAGTATCACAAGCAAAATTACATTAATCTCTATTTCTCATTCCTCCCAAAACCTTTCGGAAAAAATGTGTCGGGGCCCCAAAAGCTGAAAAATCATGTGACGAGGCCTCTTATATTTTCCCCCTTGTGTATAAGCCCCAAAAAGCAGCCTTTAATATTTCTAGGGCCCTCTACGTCAGCTCTATACAGCCAGAGGCATTGTATTTTAAAAAAACCCGACTTTGCCCTTCTCCTTCTTCCCCAGACGCTTCGTCACCACTCTTCGTCATATCCCATTAAATGCAAACTACTGTAAGAAATGGAGGGAAATTTCCCCCCTTTTTCAGTCTATCATGAGCAATAAATATCTAGTTATCCATTACTCTTCTATTACTCTTCCTCAGACCAAAATTCTCTCCATTACTCTTCCTCAGACCAAAATTCTCTCCATTACTCTTCCCTCCACTTCATAATGGCTGAAAAGGACATCACCTGCATCGTAGCTTCGGGTGATAGAGCAGTATTCATGAAGATTAAAACTTCAACCACCATTCTTGATCTAAAATTTAATGTGTCAGATAGGTTAGATCTTCCATATGAATCATTAAGTTTGTCATTCAAAGATGAAACGAATGGAAGCTTCAAAATTCCTATTGAGAACGAGGGGGATCCGTCGTCTATGGTGGAGCATTGTCATAACAGAGGATTAAAGGAGGTTCACATGCAAGCTTTCAAGGAAAAAGAGGATTCTTCAAAAGTCCACAGTGCCGTTCACGTTCGAGATGACATGTATGGGCAAGGATTTTTTTGATGCTAAGACCAATATTCATGTAATATCAATTAATGTTAGTTCATTGGATTATAGCTCGGATTCTAATAGATTTGCTAGTTCTAGCCCACAACTTGCTAGTTATAAACTCAGCCCTTGTTTTTTAATTCAAACTTAATAATTCTTGCTTCTACGTTAGTTCTAACTTCTATTACCCTAGTTCTAGCTTGTATACAGTCAGTTCTAACCCACAACTTGCTAGTTCTAAACCCAGCCCGCGTTTTTAATGCAAACTTGTAAATTCTAGCTTCTACGTTAGTTCTAGCTTCTATCTCACTAGTTCTAGCTTGTATACAACCAGTTCTAGCTTACAACTTACTAGTTCTAATCCCAGCCAGCGTTTTTAAATGAAAACTTGTTAAATCTAGCTATTACGTTAGTTCTAGCTTCTATTACCCTAGTTCTAGCTTGTATACATCCAGTTCGAGCCCACAACTTGCTAGTTCTAAACCCAGTCCGCGTTTTTTTCATGCTAAGTTGTAAATTCTAGGTACTACGTTAATTCATGTAATATCAGTTAATGTCGGTTTAATAGATTTATTGTTAAGTATAATCTATTAGTTGTTAGTTCCAATAGACTTATTGTTAGTGCTAATCGATTTGCTATGAGATCTAGTTCAAACTGTGTTAGGTCCAACATGTTAGTTCTAAGGGGGGGTTATTGGTTGGGGGTAATTGTTGGGATAATGAGATAATTTTTGAAACACTAATGTTTGGTGTTATTCATTGGGGTAATTGGAACTGGGGTAATCTGTGTGGTGTTATTGGTTTGTTGGGGTAATTCTGGGACAAATACCCCCATTTCCCCCAATTTATCCCACCTATAAAAAGAAACTTCAGCCCTGCCCCAAAAATTTTCCCCCTTTCTATCGCTGGAACCAAGAAACCCAGCCGAACGCCCGCTCTCTCCGCCTCCTCTCTCCGCGTCCGCCTCCTCCGCGTCCTCTATGTTTTTGGTCTCTAGGTCGGCGTCCGCCTCCTCCGCCTCCTCTCTCCGCCTCGAGCTCGTACGTCGTTCGTCACCGTTCGCCGCCTCGAGCTCGTACGTCGTTCTCGAGCTCGAACGCCCGCTTCGCCGTCGCCGTTCTCGGGCTCGGTCGCCGCCGCCATCACCTCCGCGGCCTCCTCCGCGGCACCGCCTCCCAACCCAGGTACAATCTCTGGTTCCATAAGGCACCGATGTCAAAACTGAATTTTATAGTGAACAAATTGAATAGCATGCCTATGGAAACAAATTGAATGTTTTAACAGATTAGGAAAACAAATTGAAAGGTTTTTACTGAACTGATGTATTACGAACAAGAGTTGATTGACATTGCATTTGGTCTATAGGTATTGAGTGACATTTCATTTTTTGCTACTAATCTCCTCATCAATGCTAGCAAGTCAAATTTGCTGCTGGAAAACTCACCAGCTACTAATATCCTCATCAATGCTAACAAGAGTTGAGTGACATTGCATTAGGTTCTGTAGAGTTTTGGTGAATCCCTTTCACCTATTTAAGCATTTCTTGGATATGAGGTGATGACACATGAATTTGTACCCCACAAGTTAGTACTTTGACAATCGTTGAGAATGATCATTCTGTTTAGAAATATACTTGGTAAGGGAATTCATAAATTTCCAAGGTGATTAGTTTTGTGTTGTATTATCTTTTACGCAATGGAAAATGGTGGTTGTTTTATTCTTGAGGTACTATTTTGATACTCAAGAGAATGACACTCAATTCAAAAATTATAGGATTTGGATTTCCATATTGCAATAATCATACAAACAATTACACATGGAAGGAGTCAGATAGCTGTGTGAAGGCATTCGAGTATCTAGTCATGATAGTAGTAAACATGGCTGCACAAATAGGAGGTCTAGTCACGAGTATCTCGCACCTCATATCACAAGAGGAGATAAATCTACTCATTTCCCAACTCAGACATGGCATTACGGACCTTGGCCTTCAATATTTGAAATTTAAGATGGATAGCAACCCACGTGATTTTCGTCGAGTATACCGTATGTATCCGGATTGCTTCATGAAATTGTGTATGGTCTTGCGAGAACGTGGGCATTTACAAGATACACGGTATATCAGCGTTGAGGAGATGGTTGCTATTTTCCTACTCACCGTTACTCAAAATCAACGATATTGCATCACCACTGAAAGGTTTGATCGATCCCGATTTGCCGTCAGTGTTTGTTTCAATAAGGCACTACAGGCCCTTGTGTCATTAGCCCCTTGTATGATGGCTCCTCCTCCTACTGATCCACCAGAAAAGGTCACATCTGAATCTCGTTTTTGGCCTTACTTGCATTATATTTTGTAAAAACCCGACTTTACCCTTCTCCTTCGTCCCCAGACGCCTCGTCACCTTTCTTCGTCACATCCCATTAAATGCAAACTACTGTAAGAAATGGAGGGAAATTTCCCCCCTTTTTCAGTCTATCATGAGCAATAAATATCTAGTTATCCATTACTCTTCCATTACTCTTCCTCAGACCCAAATTCTCTCCATTACTTTTCCTCAGACCAAAATTCTCTCCATTACTCTTCCCTCCACTTCATAATGGCTGAAAAGGACATCACCTGCATCGTAGCTTCGGGTGATAGAGCAGTATTCATGAAGATTAACACTTCAACCACCATTCTTGATCTAAAATTTGATGTGTCAGATAGGTTAGATCTTCCATATGAATCATTAAGTTTGTCATTCAAAGATGAAACGAATGGAAGCTTCAAATTTCCTATTGAGAACGAGGGGGATCTGTCGTCTATGGTGGAGCATTGCCATAATAGAGGATTAAAGGAGGTTCACATGCAAACTTTCAAGGAAAAAGAGGATTCTTCAAAAGTCCACAGCGCCGTTCAAGTTCGACAAGACATGTAGGGGCAAGGTAATAATAATATTATTATTATTATATTATTTTTAATATTTTATATTAAAATAATTTTAAAAAATAATATTATTGTATATTATAACTAATATTTATTTAATCATTTGATGTTATATCAAGTTAAACTTGAACTTAATTGAGCTATAATATAATATTATAAAAAGATGTCATACCAATTGTCCCACTCAAATTGTCCCATTACCCCAATTTACCCCACTTTACCCCACTTTACCCCACTCAAATTATCCCATTGGGTAAAATTACCCCATTGGAACAATTTACCCCACTCAAATTATCCCATTGGGTAAAATTACCCCATTGGAACAATTTACCCCAATTTACCCCAAATTATCTAAACGTTTTCATGTTAGTTCTAAATGAAATCTTTTTAGTTCAATTGGATTCCACGATAGTTATAACACAAGCAGTTGATGTTTTTTTGCTTTTTCCTTATTTGTGTTATTTGTTGATGTTTCTATTGTATAGTTTATGATCATTTGTTCATATTCTTTAAATTTGCAGCGCTACCAGCAGTATGAACTCAAAAAGCATAGAGGGTGGTCCGCCATTGTCGACGCCCACATGTGTTTCAGATAGGATCCCCAATGATAATCCTTCTGGAGATAATATTCCGATGATTGATGACATGATTAGCAGATCAGAGAGGATTCCTGCTTGGTGGCACACTACTTTAACCGGTGAGGGACAACGGTTTGAGAGTGCGAAGGAATTAAGATTGGCTTTACTATACTATTCCATGGCCAAAAAATTCGAGTACTTGTTTGCTAAGAATGAACCGAAGCGTATTCGAGTCTTTTGTCGGTTCAAGGAAGCCCAAAATTGCCCGTGGATGCTATTTGCCTCTCCAACACAAAATGAGAACAGACTTGAAATCAAAACCTTCGTGGACAACCACACATGTGGGAATTTTGGTAATAATGTAGGTCAATCTAGGGTGTCACGACAATTCATTGCGACCCAAGTATTACCCACGTTAAAGGTCCGACCAGATTTACGACCTATCGACGTACAAAAGGAGTTACTAACTTCGTATGAGCTTAGGGTCGATTATAGCAAGATATGGTGGGGTAAAGAAAGAGCACAAGAGCAACTATATGGTGATGCCCATGAGTCCTACGATCAATTACGATGGTAAAAGAAGATAATATCTATAATATAGACACTAATTTCATTTATGTTGATCCTAACATATAATCTTCAATGGTCTAGGTATGTAGAAGAGGTTAAGAAGACAAACCCAGGTAGCTACATTCATGTTGAACAAAATGAGGAGAGGTTTTCAAAGCTATTCATCTGTTATGCCGCCTACATAAATGGGTTTTTGAACAGTTGTAGACCACTTATATTTTTTGATGGTACCTTTCTGAAAGATCGTTTCAAAGGTATACTCCTCAGCGCCGTTGCATACGATGGAAATCAGGGGATATTTCCATTAGCCTATTGCATCTGCGATCAGGAAAATACTGTAAACTGGAATTGGTTCTTACAAGGTTAGTTCGGGTCATGTTAGTTCTACTAGAATTCATGCTAGTTCTAACTCATTCGTTGTTAACTCTAACTTCAAATATGTTGACTACAAATATTTCGTTGTTAACTCTAACTTCAGATATGTTAACTACAAATATTTATAGGTTTATGGTCTATTCTCTATGAAAGGCCAGATCCATACAACCCTCCACACAAGCTAGTTATAATATCTGATGCGGATAAGGGGATCAGAGAAGCAGTCAGAGAATATTTTCCGGATGCTATACACTCTAGATGTGTTCTGCATCTAGTTGAGAATTTCAGGACAAAGTTGCGGGATTTGGGTTTCAAGGCAAAGGATACTCGGATTTTGGGCAACCTTTTGCAATCTGCTTGTTACAAATATACTAAAGCAGAATGGAATGACTATGTGGAGGACATTAGACTGGCGGACGAACGAGCCTACAATATTGTCATGAACTACGCTCCAGAGAACTGGACTAACGCATTTCCCCCAGGAATTGGGTAATTTATAAGCTATGTCATTTCTTATTTCAGTTAGTTGTTTGCCTAACTAAATTAGACATGAATGGATATACTGGAACTAACTATAACCTAGTCGGAACTAACATAGGCGATATACCCAACACTTGTAATAGAACATGGATAATAACCCAGTTAGCTGGAGTTAGAACTAACTGGGTACCATCTAGAACTATCACGATAGAAGCTTTCACTAAGAACTACTCAGCTAGAACTGACATGACAAATAACTCAGTATTTTTGATGAATTCCCTGTTATGTTCCAGATATGGTCACGTTACATCAAATGTTGCAGAGTCATTCAACAAATGGATACATGAGGCTAGGCTTCTACGGATACTACAACTCGTAGAACACATACGTAAACAAATTATGGTTCACATGAATAAGCGACGATTAATGGCTGAAAGTTGGAATGGATTTCCTTGTCCCAAAGCTGAACTTGTCCTCAAAGAGAACATGGAAAATGGGCGTCCATTGGATGTGCGTCAGTCTCATACAAGATTATTTGAGGTACAATCTCATAAAACTTGTAAAGTGGATCTTGACAATAAAACATACACGTGCCGCGCGTGGGATGTAACCCGTATCTCTTGCAAACATGCATGGGCAACTATTATGTTTATGAAGAGGGATGTTTACCAATTCTGTGACTGGTTTATGACGGTTGAAGCTTTTAAAAAGAGCTACGAGCCAATCCTCTACCCCATCCCCGATTACGAGAAGCGTAGCGTACCACGGGAGGAGATACAGATCCTATCACCATTAATAACAAAAAGGAAAGGGAGAAATAAGACCAGGCGTATCAACAACAGAACAGTTTACACCTGGCTACTTAAATGCTCTCGATATCATGTGGAAGGTCACAACCGTAAAACATGTAATGAATCTATTGCTGACTAAGTACTTGATATGTTGTTAACTGTTTTATTTGTATATTTACAAACTAGTACGTTTTGTTTAATGTTGAAAGTATTCTCATGTGTGATGAGAACTAGCATCATCTCCACTAGCAAAAATGTTGTAAGTATTAGAACTACACGAGAACAAATAGATCTGACAATGGCTAAGATAGAACAGACATGACAGCATCTAGAACTAAAACCACAGCAGCTAGAACTAACATAGAACCCATAACTAAGAACTTAGCATGTAAAAATCACGGGCTGAGTTTAGAATTAGCAAGATGTGGGCTAGAACTGACTGTATACAAGCTAGAACTAGTGGGATAGAAGCTAGAACTAACGTGGAACACAGAACTAAGAACTTAGCATGAAAAAAACACGGGCTGGGTTTAGAACTAACAAGATGTGGGCTAGAACTGGCTGTATACAAGCTAGACCTAGTGGGATAGAAGCTAAAACTAACGTGGAACACAGAAATAACAACTTAGCAAGAAAAAACACGGGCTGGAATTAGAACTAGCAAGATGTGGGCTAGAACTGCCTGTATACAAGCTAGAACTGATGAAATAGAAGTTAGAACTAACGTGGAACGCAGAAATAACAACTTAGCATGAAAAAAACGCAGGCTGGATATAGAACTAGTAAGATGTGAGCTAGAACTGGCTGTATACAAGCTAGAACTAGTGGGATAGAAGCTAGAACTAACGTGGAACACAGAAATAACAAATTAGCATTAAAAAACAAGGGCTGGGTTTAGAACTAGCAAGATGTGGGCTAGAACTGACTGAATACAAGCTAGAACTAGTGGGATAGAAGCTAGAACTAACGTGGAATCAAGAATTAACAACTTAGCATGAAAAAAACACGGGCTGGTTTAGAACTAGCAAGATGTGGGCTAGAACTGGCTGTATACAAGCTAGAACTAGTGGGATAGAAGCTAGAACTAACGTGGAATCTAGAATTAACAACTTAGCATGTAAAAAATGCGGGCTGGTTTAGAACTAGTAAGATGTGGGCTAGAACTGGCTGTATACAAGCAAGAACTAGTGGGATAGAAGCTAGAATTAACGTGGAACCCAGAACTAAGAACTTAGCATGTAAAAAACACGGGCTGAGTTTAGAACTAGCAAGATGTGGGCTAGAACTGGCTGTATACAAGCTAGAACTAGTGGGATAGAAGCTAGAACTAATGTGGAACACAGAACTAAGAACTTAGCATGAAAAAAACGCGGGCTGGGTTTAGAACTAGCAAGATGTGGGCTAGAACTGGCTGTATACAAGCTAGAACTAGTGGGATAGAAGCTAGAACTAACGTGGAACCCAGAACTAAGAACTTAGCATGTAAAAAACACGGGCTGGGTTTAGAAATAGAAAGATGTGGGCTAGAACTAGCTGTATACAAGCTAGAACTAGTGGGATAGAAGCTAGAACTAATGTAGAACACAGAACTAAGAACTTAGCATAAAAAAACGTGGGCTCGGTTTAGAACTAGCAAGATGTGGGCTAGAACTGGCTGTATACAAGATAGAACTAGTGGGATAGAAGCTAGAACTATCGTGGAACACAGAAATAACAAATTAGCATGAAATAAACTAGGGCTGGATTTAGAACTAGCAAGATGTGAGCTAGAACTGAATGAATACAAGCTAGAACTAGTGGGATACAAGCTAGAACTAAGGTGGAACCCAGAATTAACAACTTAGCATGAAAAAAGGCGGGCTGGGTTTAGAACTAGCAAAATGTGGGAGAACTGGCTGTATACAAGCTAGAACTAGTGGGATAGAAGCTAGAATTAACGTGGAACCCAGAACTAAGAACTTAGCATGTAAAAAACACGGGCTGGGTTTAGATCTAGCAAGATGTGGGCTAGAACTGGCTGTATACAAGCTAGAACTAATGGGATAGAAGCTAGAACTAAGGTGGAACCCAGAATTAACAACTTAGCATAAAAAAAACACGGGCTGGGTTTAGAACTAGCAAGATGTGGGCTAGAACTGGTTGTATACAAGCTAGAACTAGTGTGATAGAAGCTAGAACTAACGTGGAACACAGAAATAACAAATTAGCATATAAAAAATGAGGGCAGGGTTTAGAACAGGCAAGATGTGGACTAGAACTGGCTGTATACAAGCTAGAACTAGTGGGATAGAAGCTAGAACTAACATGGAACACAGAACTAAGAACTTAGCATGAAAAAAACGCGGGCTGGAATTAGAACTATCAAGATGTGGGCTAGAACTGGATGTATACAAGATAGAACTAGTGGGATAGAAGATAGAACTAACGTGGAACACAGAAATAATAAATTAGCATGTAAAAAACGAGGGCAGGGTTTAGAACTAGCAAGATGTGGGCTAGAACTAGCTTTATACAAGCTAGAACTAGTGGGATAGAAGCTAGAACTAACGTGGAACCCAGAACTAAGAACTTAGCATGTAAAAAACACGGGCTGGGTTTAGAACTAGCAAGATGTGGGCTAGAACTGGCTGTATACAAGCTAGAACTAGTGGGATAGAAGTTAGAACTAACATGGAACACAGAACTAAGAACTTAGCATGAAAAAAACACGGGCTAGAATTAGAACTAGCAAGATGTGGGCTAGAACTGGCTGTATACAAGCTAGAACTAGTGGGATAGAAGCTAGAACTAACGTGGAACATAGAAATAACAACTTAGTATGAAAAAAACGTGGGCTGGAATTAGAACTAGCGAGATGTGGGCTAGAACTGGCTGTATACAAGCTAGAATTGGTGAGATAGAAGCTAGAACTAACGTGGAACCCAGAAATAACAACTTAGCATGAAAAAAACGCGGGCTGGATATAGAACTAGTAAGATCTGAGCTAGAACTGACTGTATATAAGCTAGAACTAGTGGGATAGAAGCTAGAACTAACGTGGAACACAGAACTAAGAACTTAGCATGAAAAAACGCGGGCTGGAATTAGAACTAGCAAGATGTGAGCTAGAACTGACTCTACACAAGCTAGAACTAATGGGATAGAAGCTAGAACTAACATGGAACACAGAAAAAGTATGAAAAAAGTATGGGCGGGAATTAGAACTAGAAAGATGTGGGCTAGAACTGGCTGTATACAAGCTAGAACTGGTGAGATAGAAGCTAGAACTAACGTGGAACCCAGAAATAACAACTTAGCATGAAAAAAACATGGGCTAGATATAGAACTAGCAAGATGTGAGCTAGAACTGGCTGTATACATGCTAGAACTAGTGGGATAGAAGCTAGAACTAACGTGAAACACAGAAATAAGAAATTAGCATGAAAAAAACTAGGGCTGGGTTTAGAACTAGCAAGATGTGTGCTAGAACTGGCTGAATACAATTTAGAACTAATGGGATAGAAGCTAGAACTAATGTGGAACCCAGAATTAACAACTTAGCATGTAAAAAACGCGGGCTGGGTTTAGAACTAGCAAGATGTGTGCTAGAACTGGTTGTATACAAGCTAGAACTAGTGGGATAGAAGGTTTAACTAACGTGGAACACAGAAATAAGAACTTAGCATGAAAAAAACGCGGGCTGGAATTAGAACTAGCAAGATGTGGGCTAGAACTGGCTGTATACAAGCTAGAACTAGTGGGATAGAAGCTAGAACTAAGGTGGAACCCAGAATTAACAACTTAGCATAAAAAACCGCGGGCTGGGTTTAGAACTAGCAAGATGTGTGCTAGAACTGGTTGTATACAAGCTAGAACTAGTGGGATAGAAGGTTTAACTAACGTGGAACACAGAAATAAGAACTTAGCATGAAAAAAACGCGGGCTGGAATTAGAACTAGCAAGATGTGGGCTAGAACTGGCTGTATACAAGCTAGAACTAGTGATATAGAAGCTAGAACTAACGTGTATACAAGCTAGAACTAGTGATATAGAAGCTAGAACTAACGTAGAACCTAGAATTAACAACTTAGCATGTAAAAAACACGGGCTGGTCTAGAACTAGTAAGATGTGGGCTAGAACTGGCTGTATACAATCTAGAACTAGTGAGATAGAAGGTAGAACTAACGTGGAACACAGAAATAATAAATTAGCATGTAAAAAAATGAGGGCAGGGTTTAGAACTAGCTAGATGTGGGCTAGAACTGGCTGTATACAAGCTAGAACTAGTGGGATATAAGGTATAACTAACGTAGAAGCATGTATTAAAAAGTAGCGGTTAGAACCAACATTGTAACCAAAATTAACAATTGCAGCAGCTATAACACGCTCGAGGGCTAATAGAACTAATACGATAGCATCTAGAAATAACATATTATTCGGTATAACGTTTGTAAATAGAATTAACAACGATTTATAAAAACAAGACTGTGAAGTACGTTTATAATAACGATTTATAACTACCGTCCACACCTTGCAATGGTTTTTAACAATGATTTATAACTATCAACGAATAGTTTCCTTCCATTACAGTAGCAAAATTTGACAGAAACTATCTTCATACGGTGTTGCGGAGAAGAAAGAAGCTGGAACCTCATTTGTTGCTTCCCTCGCTTGAGCGGTAGATGTCTGATAAAACTTTATCACTACTAGTTCTCTTACGCTTTCCACGTGTGGATGATGGAGAGCTGGACTTTGATGATCCACTTTGCGATCCTGAAGCGTTTCCTGGCTGAGGAGAATTGACGGTAGGGTGAGCCACCGCCAAATTGGAAGGGCCGATCCCTTGGTTTTGGAGAAAGCGCTGCCACTGTTCTCTATCCACAGTTATGTGCCTACCGTCCCAGCTAACGTCTTGAAACTCTGGATCATAACTAATAGGCTGCGCAGGCTGTGACCCTAAGTTAAGGCGAGTGGATCCCTGAGACCTCTCCAAACCCGTCCTGCATTGGACCTGCGTGACGGCGTAGCCTTCCTTTATGTTTCCGTCAACCGGAGATGTGTAACGGAACCCAAGCTTCTTAGGGATGTCAGATAAATCCCTAACCTTGAGGAGCACTTTGCAGTCTTCAAAGTTAGTATTGTTTATGACGTCTCTAGAG